CTAAAATATAAACTATAAATTATAAAGTATTGTTCTACAAAACTATTAGTATAATATTATAAAGTTACTCTGTAATAGCTTTTTCTGGCTTTAGAAATTTGCTTTGCAAATTTAATTTTTAAAATAATTTATAGTATTTTTAAATTATATACCAGTATCTAGAAATTAATTATATGCTAAATTTAATCAAGTATTCTGCATAAAATTGTATTACTATTTGATTTTCCTTATATTTTCTCTCTTTAAAAATAGTGAATATCCTATGAGCTTATCAATTTATCAAATGTTTCTTATTTCTTTGTGCCAAGTTTCCTTATTAGATAATCAATTTTTTTATATTAATCTAATTTGTTCTATTTTATTTAATATTGTTTTGTTTCCTTATTGATAATTTCTTTGTTCTATTTTTATATCTTCTAATTGATAGTTATCTAATATCTGTTATTTGTTGTAGCTAGTTGTTTATAGATTTTTTTTAATTAAAATTTTGCTACTTCTGACTTTTAGTTTTTAGCTTCTTTCTTTTACCTTCTTTCCTTTATTACTTCTATATTTTAATCTTTTTGTTTCTTTTGTTAATACTGTAGTTTGTTGTTTAAAAACTTTCTTGTTGAAAACCTTTTTGCTTGTCCTTTAGTTAGTTGTTCAAAGGTATATATACTTTTCAGACTATATGCTCAGTCCCATCTAATCTAGACATTTAGGAGATCAGCTAGTTATCTACTTTAGTATGCTGTATATTCGGTCTAAGTAGATATTTTCTATTTATATTTTTCTCTTTTACTTTCAATACTTGTAGTCTCTTATGCGAGTAAGTTAAGAACTTATTTTTATTGATATTGCAAATAATAGACCTGCTTGTTATATTCTTGAGATAAGCATCTTGTCAATATTTTTTATAATATCATTTTTAGTATATATATTTAGAGACAAGTAGTTTCTAATTAAGTTTTGTCTTTAGATGCCCAGAAAAAAAAAAGATAATCGATCTATAGTTGTTTAATTGCTCTCTACAACTAAGTTTAAAATTTAGAAGTATAAGCGACAGCCAGAAATCTTCAGCCCTTTGAAGCAATCTGAGAAGAATATATTTGAAGAACCTAGTATCAGCAATTGTTTGTCAAACAGAATAGATTGCGAGTTCAAATCACAAATTTAGAGTGAAAAGAACAAAAGTTGCAGCAAAATATAAATAAACAAAATAGAAATTATTTCTGTAATATTTTGTAAATATTAATAAAATAAAATTTGAAATCTAATTCTATTAGTAATAAATGTAATAAATATTAAAAATTAATAAAATTTGAATAATAAAAAATAAAGTTATAACAAATAAATTTGTAATAATAGATAAATATAAATAAAGTTAATAAAAATATAAGTTTCTAATTTAATAAATAAAAAGTAAAATTAACACTCTTTCTGATAATCACTTGGTCAACAACAATTTATTGAACTACAGTCAGCGATATAGGAAAGCGATATAGTGGATACAGCAATATTCTTGGTTTTGTGCTAAGCAAACTTGTTGTTGACAAAGCCTACAATATGTAAAACACTGAGGAGTAGACGTATAAGAATATTAGATGGGTTTGTGCCTTGAGTCAAAATTTTTTTTCTCGACAAACTCCTTCACATGTTCAGCATCCAAACTAAAAGGTTTATTCTAGAAGCAAGTAGAGCAAAATCTCTATGCAAGAATATAAGTAGATACTTGGAAACTAGACTATATAGTACAACTATAAAACTTACAAGAAGAAACTCACATATTCTCATTGACCCTCCACTTTTTTTTCAGAGAAAATTTTGTAAAAAAGTAGATAATTTAGCTTACCTCCTTCAAAAGATCGATATATTGTTTACTTATCAAATCATTTGGCATTGTTTACTTTTTATCTGTCACAATATACACATGAATTCAAATAGAACATAAACATCTGGATTACATGCTTCAGAAGTGACAACCTGAACAAACAATGCTTCAATACCAACTGTATGAATTTCTAACTTCTTTATGATGCCTGAAGCATGCTTTTGTTTATACTTCTAGAGAAGTTTAAACAAAAGAAACTGGAAAGCTTATAGTGCTAGAGTATAGTGCTGATATTGAAGAGCCTTTTTTCCTTTAGGTTTTCACTTAAATATACTAATTAGTTAAATTAAAGTAGAGACTAGTTTAGATAATAGTATACAATTTTTATAAAGCTCAACACAGGCTTATAATTATGACCATCCAATATGGGTGAAATATCTCACATTTTTCTTTTTTTTCACTTTCCTCTTACCTTTTATTTTCTTGTTTGTATCTTTTATATCTCTGTGTTTTTTTATATATATAGTTAGTTTTTCTTTTTTTTTTCACTTCTTTACGAGAAGATATTATCAGATTGGTGGTATCCTATTGTAAGGCAGTAGGTTGGATAAGCTCTCTGGTTAGGGTAATACCTTTTGATTTTATCTCGTCGGTGCGGCAGATTGCCGATAGGCACTCTTTGAAGCAGCCGTAGGATGTTAGGATCATAGTTTTAATGTTATAGTAATATACTTATAATTTTTCACGAGATTGAGACTTTATTAAATATCGATCACTAGCATGATCTTGCCTAAGTAGAAAAAAAAATAAATAAAAATAAAAAGTAAAATTGTATTGAAATAAGTTTGTAAAAATAAAATAAAATAATAATAAAGTTATAATAAAGAAAGCTATAACAAATAAAAGTATAACAAAAAACTCTTTCTAATGATCACTTGAATCAAGACTACACCAAACAGTTTGAAGATTCAAGGCTCTAAAAAGTCTGAAGATACCTGAGGTTCCTTATTGGTACTGTTATCGATGAAGACTTATACGTGAAACACCAAGAAGCTGAACATATATAGTTGGTTTGTACTTTGGATCAAGCTTTTCTTCTTGGTGAACTCTCTCGCATGTTCGGCATCTAAGCCAAAAGAGTTATTTTGGTAATAGTAGTGGTGAAAACCTCCTAACTCAAGTGTCTAAAGCTTTTTAGTTCTATGATGAATAACTGGAAACATCTTCTTTGTCTTGAGCTCTCACAAATACAGTATTTTTTTCCTTTCAATACTTTTGGTCATAATTTTTGACAAAAAGTGGAAAATTCAGCTTACTCCCTCCAAAAGATCAGCAATGTTTACTACTTTTATATCAGGAAAATCTGCATAATGACAAACAATATATATAAAATAGATGGTGCTGACGAATTTATTAACTAGATGAGTGTTCAGAAGAATACTTTATGTGCCGTATTGTTGAGGATATACAAGCATATGATTATTAGATAGAGCATATGGAGATTTTAAAATTCTTATACTTTTATATAAAGATATGAATTTAATTGAAAAAGTAAAGTAAAGTAAAACAAGATATACAGGCATCCTTTAGTCACCTGTATATAATTTTTAGCCTCTGGCACGAGTTATAGTGTATTTATTTTAGTTTTATATTTCTTGTCAAGACTCTTGCACTTAATAGTAGATCATAACTTTATATAATTAGAAATTTTTGTCTGGTTAGCAGGTTTTTTTCTTTTTAGTAATAGTTTCTTTTAGGTTTTAGTTTAGTTTTTTTTATATTCCTTAGTATTAGTATCTGTTTTCTTTGATGTATTAGTTTTATTTTTACCTCATTTTTCATTTTTTATTATTCTTTTTTTTTTCCTTTCATATAAAAAAGTATCATTAGTTTGGTGGCATTCTATTGTAGTGTGGAAATCTTGACAGGGCAAGCAACAGCCAGCCAAGAAATTTAGAGAAATAAGTTTGGAGTAAGTTCTGAATCTTTGGAGGAGGCCAAGTGTTGCTAGGCAGATTGCATCTGGGCAAAACACAGCAGTTTAATGGTTTACCCTGACTGCAAGTGGATATTACAGCATCTGCGAGGTATGCTGTAAGTAAGTTTACATTTTAGTTAGAACACTTATAGATTTAGATTTCTTATGCTATATAAGAATAAAAATCTGTTTCTATAATAAAGTAAGCAGGATTGTTGAAGAAAAAAAAAATTTAAAAGTATAACAAATAAAGTTATAACAATTAAGTTATAATAATTAAATTGTAATGAAAAGGTTGTAAATAAATTATAATGAATAAAGTTTTAACGAATAAAGTTATAACAGAAAGTTATAATAAATAATAATAAATAAATTGTAATAATAGATAATAACTAGTTTAAGTTCTGTTTCTTAAATAAAAATTCAATAAAAGTTGATAATAGTGTTCAATAAAAGATCAAATTTTGTTAAAATAAAATTGTTTAATAAAATTAACAAAATATTTAAATTTTATTAAAATAATATTGTTTGAAAATTTATATATTTCTAATAAGAAATATTTATAATATATTTTTAATTAAATTTATTAATACAACTTTTGTTATTAATAGTTATTGCAGTGCCTATGCCATCACTATAATCTGTCGGTAGATTGAGCAGTTCATAGTCAGGATTTAAACGCACAACCCACAAAAGCTACATATCACTTTACTACAACAGTAATTGTTTGATTTTCAAAATTTTTCTGTTTAAAATAGTTCTAGTTTCTTGTAAAGTATCAAATTAAAGTATTGAATTTTATGTGATCAAGTTGATACAATGCAGGGGTTAAGTATAGTATTTATCATTAAGTTTGTTGAAGTTTGTAAAACATTGAAATAATTCAACATTTATATCAGCAACAGTAATTACATTAATATCTAATCATGGTTTATACTTATCAAAAACAACACAAACAAGAAAGATTACTATATAGTCAAGGATTTTTCAAAATTCAAAGATCATTTTTAGAAAAATCTAAATCATGTGCTAATATGTGATTGCCGCTTAGTAATGCTTACTAATCCTTTTTTTATAAAGAAATTTGTGACCTTTCATCGATCTAGTACTACAATAAAGGTTAAGTCTAACCATCAAATTACATCTTTTTCAACATGTATTTTCAGAATCCATGTAGATCTCAAAGCCTTGACAAATTAGGTTTTCTTAAATTAAAGCTTAAATTACACATATTTTATATATTATTCACCAATGAGTTCAAAAGTAGAAGCCAAAACATTGCACTGTCTCTTTGCTTCTTTTGCTAACAAGCAGCTGATAAGTAATTTACTAAAGTATATAAATAAGTATAAACCTGACGAAGAGCAACAGTGACAAAATGTATCGGCTAACGCAGCAACAAAAAAGCTAAAGAATTAGCTAAGTATTTTACTGAATTAACTTCATTTCTTGAATCTTTAAAAAGTTACTCTTTATGTGAATGGCATTACAATCAGATTGTTGCTAAACCTTCTTTTATTAAACAATTTACAGACAAATCAAATTTAGATGAGAGTAAAAGAAAAAGAGTAAAGCTTTCTAATAAAAAAAGTTTTGCAGATTTTAGTGTTCAAGTTAATCTAACTTCCATCGATTTTGGTGCTCAAGTTATCCAACTTTCATCAATTTTAATGCTCAAGTTAATCCAACTTCTGTCGATTTTGGAATTCAAGCATCTTTACCAGATCTAATATATGAAAGTCTTTTAGGGCAGATTAGTAAGCTTGAAAGTGCTAATAAGCAATTATTAGCTGAAAATAAAGAGTTAAAAAAAAGGTTATATGAAAGATTTACTAACCAACAAGATCGTATTCAGTCTATTATATAAATTGTTGAAAAAGAGTGAAATAATTTGTATGAGAATATAATAAGTTTGATGAAAAATCAAGAGCAATTTTTTTTTGAATAGCCTCTTGCGATATTCTCCTTCCGAATGGCTTGCTGAATGAAATCTAGTTGTTGTAAAGTTTATAAAAACTTTTACTTGTAATGAAAATAAATAACAATCTGGAGAGAAGTATTTTAAAAGTGTCATAGCTGTTGATGCTATATATAAATCAAGGCACTTAAAATATGTTTCTGCAATCAATTTGGCCACTTCAGCAATTAAGTATTCATTAGCAAGATTGAGAACAATTGTGAATATCAACAATCATATTATTAGTTCTGGTATATGTTTTTTCTTATTATCTAATGATTTTTTTTTTTTTTTAATTTTATAAATACTTAAGGCATTTTATTATTTAGGCAGCTATTCAAAATTTACTAATTGGTTAGAAAATTTAGCTATAGAGCAGCACTGCTTCCTAAAGGTTTTTTATTTTTGGCCTTTAACAATGAACAAAAAGGCCAAAAAAATTATTTAGATCGTGGCCATAATACGGTTATATTTTATACCATTACAAGTTTTGTTGCTTTTAATTTTTCAAATAACTATATTTAGATTACAGATTCTTGGTTATATTCTGAACTTACCCAAAAGCAATATAAAGAATTATTTTATTTAATATCAGGTATAGAAAATGAAATTCATGAAGAACTTACTAATTATCTTTCAATTATTTTAGAAGAACTTTGTATTAAAAAAATCAAAAAACGAATGTAATTAATAACTTGATATGTAATTAAAGTTAAGCAGTTTGTATAAAAAAATGTTCAGTTTGTAATATCTCCAATATCGATAACAAGAAGTAGGTTTGTCCTATATGCTATAATAGATTACTGATAATTACTGAAATAAATCAGCAATCTGATGAATCATCTAATATAGTAAACACTAATAAAAAGTCTCTAGCTATTAATTCTTATATTTTTAGAGAATCAAGTAAGCAACATTCAGCTCATGAGATTTATATACCACAAGTATTTGTTCTCAATCCAATAGGAGTTAATCCTAATTCAATTGCTAATATTCGAAAAGTCTTTGAATATATTGAAGAAATTTCTGAAGTTAAGAAAAATAGTCGTAAATGGGTTGTAGTTACTTGTGATAGTGTACCGTATCATCATATACTAAAAATAAAAAAAGATTTTCCTTGGCTTATATTAATTCTAGGTGCTCTTTATGAAGAAATAAATATGCTAAAAGCATTTGTCGAGTTAAATTGAGATATTGATATAAAAGATTTTAGCCAATATCAAGGATATTGAACAGAGAATCAACTTCAGTTTTTCAAAAAGTGTTTTGATCATCATAAGTCATGAGATTCGGTATGTAATATATATAGGCATGCCATAGTCTCTAAGTTAATGTGGCCATATGTCATTTTTGAGGAAAATTCTTCTGTTAAAGGTTATCTAAAATGGACCTAAAATCAAACTAATTTTTTATTTAAATTGAAGTATAAGCAAATTTTTGTTTATTCGCAATCAATTATTAACTTTCACACTGGAGTTCGTTTTAATAAACCTTTACCAAGACTTGCAGCTAGATGAATATTTGTATCTATTTGGTTTGCTTAGTGTCATCCAATTTATCGATTAATCGAGATTTATGATGAAGAACAAATATTACATTTAAGATCTGAGATTTATAACTTAATTTAAGAAAGAATTGTAACCTCCCTCGATTTAAACTTTCGAATCAACATCAAGGCCATGATGCGATACTTGAAGAGATTAATAAATCTCTCAAGTCTTTAATTCCTCTGATATCTTCACAACAGCATTGGAAAATCGTGGCTTGTAATTATATAAAGTTTGTAAAGTTATATACTAATTTTTACAATTTAATAGGATTTTCTGAAAATGAAGCTTATGAACCTTGAATACATCCTAGTTATATTTCTGAATCATGTCAATTTCAAGCTCAAATAAAGAAATCTCAGTTTGTAAATCCAAATATTGATAATTGTATTTTTCAAAATATGAGTGAAGAATAGACGCTAAGTGAAAAAATGAAATAATTTAGTAAAATTGTGTATTTAAAGAGAATTGAGTTTATTAATGCAAAACTAATTAAAAAAATTTCATTAAATGTTTGGCATCCAATACCTATAATATATAAAGAGGCAGATTTTCAAAAAACTAACAGTTCTTTAACAAAATCACAAATTTTATCCATCATTAATTTTTTAATTTCTCTTTTAGGTAATGCAGATCAATTACATTTTCGAGGTTTGTCGAATAAGTCTTGTGATAACTTAATAAGTATTTATTAAGAAATTAGGAATATATTAGCTAACAATGGCATTAATACTAATAATGAAGTGTAAAACGGATAAAGCATTTTTTTTATTATATTTTCTAAATTTATTTTTGAAAAATTATAGTAAGAAAAATTTTATTTTTGTATAGATTTAATATTGAGCAGTAAAGCGCGATATTGTTATTGTATAGGAGTATAGAAAGTGCAATAGAATTATATATAATTATACTGTAATAAACAAATGTAAATTCATATATAAAAATATTTTTAATAAAGATCAATTTAATAATAATTCAGTAATTGCAGAATATATAAGTTTTATATTAATTTGTGTTAAGTTAATTACTTCATAATTAATTTTAATTTTGGCTTTTTAGAATCCTTTTGAGTTATATAAAAAACTAGACATGCGCTTAAAGTAATTATGTACATATATAAAACTTAAAATTTATATATCAGTACTGCAGTATATAGTATACAAATTTTATTTAATTTTTTTATTTATTTAGTATGATAATTAACAATTGAATTTTACACAACAACAATACAATTTTGTATTACTCAAAATAACATTTTGATAAAGAATGAAACAAGAACTGACCAATATAGAATTGAATGCCTATTCTAAATATTCAAATATCTAATAATTATTATACAGCTCTATTCTAATCAACGTAAAGAATATCTCTTATGAAGAATGAAATAATAACCACCAATGCAGAATTGAATACCTATTCTAAATACCCAATTTTTAATAAACATTATACTCCTCTACTCTAATCAACATAAAGAATATCTTTTATAAATGATCAGTATTAACAAATAACAACAATACAGTAACAGGAAAATAATGCTGTTAGTAAGATCGTTAACAAGACAGCAAGAGTTATAAAAAATGATCACTTGGGTACTTCAGTACAGCAGTACTTGCTTAAAACTGGGCCTGATAATACTAATCCAGTAATCCATTCTGGGAAATAATATTAACTACAGATCATAAAACTAGAAGGCTTAAGCTAATTAAGCTTTAATACTGTAGTATTTTTGGTATTAGGTTGGTAATTCTTTAACTCTTACATTGCAACAGCAATAGGATATAATCTAGTAAATGAGTAGCCCGAAACTCATATATAAGCACACACAAGTAAATTTTTTGTATTAGTAATAATTAGACAGCAAGCAATATAATATTAGAACAATGCTATAGTTATATATATATACGTATATGCTTTTATTGCATTAAATTTTAAAAGTTTTTACTATTTAACGTTAAAACTGTAAAAGAATCATATAATAGTATAATATATGCTCTTAATTTGATTGGTCAATCATTGTAGTATATAAAACAATCTGGAATAAAGTTTAGGATAATCTGAATGATAATTATTGCTAAATTAGATGCGATCATTGATCACTAAATTTTGAAAAATCCCTGACTGCTATATAGATATTCAAAGAGTAAATATTAAATTAATAATAAGAATAAAGTAATAGTAATAATAGTAATATTAATAATAAAATATTTATAATTATAAAAAAGAAACAAATAAAAATTAGTAAGAATAATATATATATAGAGTAATGATAATAATAATAATAATAATTAATTATTAGAGAAAATATATAGATTAACATTTGGAGGAGAAGAATGAGAAGTTGAATAAGAAGGTTAAGATAATGAAAGATCATAAAGATCAATAGAGACAGAAGTATTAGGAAAGTAGAAATATATTATCAGAGATGTTTAAGAAATTAATAAGAGAAAAAAAAGAAAAGAGAGTTCATTTATAAGTAAAAAAGGTGATAAGTAGAAAAAGAAATATGAAAAGTTATATAAACGAGTAAAAGATGAAGAGTGGTTGAAAAGAAAAAAAAAAACCAATTGATCAAAAGTGGTATTGGGGTTTTCATTTGAAGAAATAGATTACAAAGTTGAAGAAAGAAAAAAAGATTTTAAAAAAGGAGTTGTAAAAAGAAATAGAAGAAAATAATTTGTTTTGATGATAACAGATAGATGATTAGATGAAGAAGAAAAATATTTTAGAGAAGAAGAAGAAGATTTTTGAAAAAGAGAAAGAGATTTTAAATAATGAGAAAAATTTTTAAAAGCGAAAAATATAAGAAATATTATGATAAGACCAGGCCAAGTTAATTTTTTGGTTCTCATAACATCTAATTTTACATATTAACCTGCCAACCCGGATTTTTTTTTACAAATTAAAAAATTTATTAATTAAAAAATTTTATCTAAAAATCATGACCCGGAAACCCAGCAAAAAATTTTATAATAAAAAAATTTAATTGAAATATAATATGCATTATACTGTATATCAAAATCAAATATTTGTAATCAATTAAATTCCACATAATAAATGAATTTAAAAAAAGTAAATTCTTATTCGTCAGTTTGCTCTAAAGATGTTTTAATCAACAGGTTAAAATGTGTTAGAAATTAAATTTAATTAGCAAAAAGTTTTTAATTGATCAAATAAGCTTGTCATTAGGGTAATTTTATTATGTAAAAAAAAAATTTTAAATAGTTATCAAAATATTAAAGCAAATAAAGCATTGTTCGAGTGTTTTCATAAGACTTTCATTATCGGCACATTTTGTAAATTTCGATAAACTATTTAGAATCCTCTTTATCTTAGGGTATTCTCAAGCACTTCACTCGATGGATC